ATAAACGAAAGTAAAGCTATTCATCTCCATTTTTATGCTAAAATAAATGGATTTTCGTTGGTCAAGAAAGCTCTCCGGAGGCCCCAAAACGCACCAAATCGCACCATTTATTTCAAAATTTTCAGTGGGGGGGCATGCCCCCTAACCCCCCTAGATTATTTTGAATCCACATTCTTTATAGGCTAGCTACGCGCCTGGTTGTGTCCATGTATAAGGACAATTCATTCATAAATTACTAAGCTTAGCAGCCATGAAGCAATGCGACGAAATCAGGTTTTCAACGTTCATGTTCCACAGAAGCTTTGACGTCAAATGCCCTGGTTAAACATAATGTCAGCATTTTACAATTCAAACATTTTTGGAGGAATTACGGACTTTTGAATTTTTAAAAATATATTTCATGAATATTAATTTGTGTCTTTTATGTTACTACATATCTGTATTGCTATTTATCTAAGTAGATGCATATTATAACAAACTTAGGAACAAATTTAATTATCTATTCATAGTAGCATATTATGTTACTTGGTCAGTATGTTTGCTTTGAACATTTACGTGTTTATTATTTACTATATACGTGCATCATTTATTATGTTTTAATAACAGGGCAGAATCAAACCACAGTTTTCAGTGACAGGTGATTTCCCTCTATAACAGGTCTTTGACCGTAACTTTAAGTCCTTGCTTGGCAGAAAAAAAATCAAATATTCTGTCCAAATACTAGTCAGTTTTAATGATTTTGTATAACAAAATTTCAATCAAGTAACTTCAATAGTTTCTCAAATCAAAGAAAGGTTGCACACTGTACACAGAAGAGCACTTCTCTTCTTGGCAAGCTTCGGTAAAAGTTTTGTCAAAATCGCTTGAAATGTAGTACGAGTTGAGAACAACAGTGTATTTCTCTGGGGGGAGGGGAGTGGTTGTTGTTTTTTGTTGTTCATGTTGTTTTTTTTGTGTGTGTGGTTTTTTTTTTTAATTAAAGGCCATAATTCAACCGAAAGTACATGTATGTACATCAAAAACACTGAGAATATGCCCTAGGTCACTTGATGATAGAACTTCTGTGAAAGTTTGGTAAAAAATCCCTTAAAATAGAATTGTAGGCCTATTTCTTTTTTTAAATAAACAAAGGGTCATAATACCGTCAAAAGAAAGTGTTTGAACCGTAAAACGCCCGATAATATGCGCCAGTGCACTTAATGACAAAGCTTCCATGAAAGTTTGGTCAAAAATCCCTTGAGAAATGTAGGAGTTGCGCACAGAAGTGCACTTCTCTGGGGTTTTTTTTTATAAACACAGGTCCATTATTCCGCCAAGTGTTTGAATCGCAAAACGCCCGAGAATATGCCCTTCGGCACTTAGTGAAAAAATTTGATCAAAATTGCTAGAGGAATGCTAGAGTTGCGCACATAAGAGATTGTTTACGGTCGCTAGTCGACATATTCCAATCCACGACCTGTCTTCAATCTAGTTTCTAGATCTTATCTTCTGAAAACTTGGCTAACAAACATTCAGATTTCAACTATACTTTGACTGAAGAATGATGTTCACAATGGCAATTTTTAACAGTGTCAAACATTTATCAGCATTTTAGTCATGACTAAAAGTACTTTTTAGAAAAGCAAAGAGTCGTGCAGAATTTCTTTAAGTGAAAGAGGTGAAATCAGTAAGTTGGTCTGTAATCAATAATTTTAGCACTAATTACTTAAAATTACATGATGAACTTTCAAGCTTTAAGTGAATACGTTCAGCTGTTGTGATAGAAAACTCCGGCAAAATTTTACCAACAGTTTTTTCACCCAACAAGCCCACAAGGAGGCATAGTAACAAAATATCACTAATGGCCCTATTTTGCTCACCTCAGATACATTGCTGCTAACGTAGGCTTTTTAGTCACATTCACGTCATTTAGAGGGCAGATTACTTTTACACAATTCTGACAAACCTTATTTTTACAATTGGTTTATGTTTTTTCAGTTTATCCCCGTGACCAACATTTTTAAGTGTATGCCTCTCAAACCAAGAGATTGTGAGTTCGAGTCTCACTTGGTCACGATCATGATTCCTCATGACACCAGTTCTGATTATCTCCATGAAGCAGACTCGAAAGTGATTAATATAAGTTTAAAGACATTGTTTCGCAATCGAGCTCAAATAACTATGTTTATGCAAAAACACCTAATGTTCATGTCTCGTGTAATGTTATAATTTATTTCTCACACATGAACGATTTTTGTTTTCATGAAAATGATCTTTTTTATTTGCATACATTTTTAGTTTGACAGGTTAAAGATAATTGCAGCAATTTGAACCAGTTTTAAAAACCACTTGCTACGATGGAAAAAATATGAAACTACCAATCTTGATTAGCTGAAGGGAGGTAATCATTATTTTACATTTGATCCAGTTTCATTTTGACTTATTATTTGTTGCTGCTATTGTCTTCAAGTGACAGAATTATGAATGTTCTAAATACGAACACTTACATCACAGCAAGTGCCAAGATTTTGATGGTGTGTTGGAACATATCTAATCACATGTCACACGTGCAGTGATAAATTTGCTCCATCTGAGTATAATTATAATTATCACCAACCAGAAACACTCTTTGTGATCACCCAATAAAAAGGACTGTTACTTTAGGAGTTCTCTTGAGTATTATTTTGATAAGCTTTTTGTTAGCAATGTCACTTGTGACAATTTCTGAAAACTTGCCACCTAAAATAAAACAAAGGCAAAGTAAGTTGTTTTTTTTCTTTATTTCATTCTTGCATTGCACTATTTTTGTAAGTTGTAAGTAATTGAAAATTCACAAAGATAAAAAAAATTATCAGTATAGCCCTACTTATTTGTAAGATACAATTATCATTCAATGAGATCATCAAAATGACATTGCTTTCTGCTGATATTTAAGGATTGCAAATCCTAATGAACTGGTAAAAGTCACCTTATCAGTAACAAAAATATTAACTAATGTTAGGTAATATTGTAACAACCACTCTCTTTGTCAGTTTTTGTATACCAGTACATATGATATCTATTAAATGAAAGAGTGTTTTGAGAAAATATTGACTGCTTGCATACCTGTCCATTAGGATCGATAATCCTTAAATAAAGCAACATAATTACACACATAAGCAAGTATATTTTAGCCACTCTACTGGAGATTCTAAGTAATATATATAAATTTTTGTTTGCGTTTCATAATAACATACATCTAACCAAGAAAATGGAACATAGCAATCTTTTTAAGTTTTGGCACATTTCTGATATTTGCAAGTGTAACTTTAACTCTAAGCCAGCTGGTGGCGAATGGAAATATCCATGCCACCAGGGTACACCAAGATCAGCCAGGTCATTCGTGCAGACCAAGGCCAGCCGTCACATTTGTGCAGACCAAAACCAGTCGCCACATTTGTGCAGACCAAAAACAGTTGTCACATTTGTGCAGGCCAAAACCAGACGTCACATTTGTGCAGACCAAAACCAGACGTCACATTTGTGCAGACCAAAACCAGTCATCACATTTGTGCAGACCAAAACCAGGACGTCACATTTGTGCAGACCAAAACCAGTCGTCACATTTGTGCAGACCAAGATCAGCCGTCACATTTGTGCAGACAAAAACCAGTCGTCACATTTGTGCAGAACAAAACCAGTCGTCACATTTGTGCAGACAAAAACCAGACGTCACATTTGTGTAGACCAAAACCAGTCGTCACATTAGTGCAGACCAAAAACAGTCGTCACATTTGTGCAGACCAAAACCAGTCGTCACATTTGTGCAGACCAAAACCAGTCGTCACATTTGTGCAGACAAAAACCAGATGTCACATTTGTGCAGGCTAAAACCAGCTATGGCATATGTGTAGACCAAACTAGACGTCACATTTGTGCAAACCAAGATCAGACGTCACATTCCTGCAGACCAAATCAGACGTCACATTTGTGCAGACCAAGATCAGCCGTCACATTTGTGCAGACAAAAACCAGACGTCACATTTGTGTAGACCAAAACCAGTCGTCACATTTGTGCAGACCAAAACCAGTCGTCACATTTGTGCAGACAAATACCAGATGTCACATTTGTGTAGACCAAAACCAGATGTCACATTTGTGCAGACTAAAACCAGCTATGGCATTTGTGTAGACCAAACCAGACGTCACATTTGTGCAAACCAAGATCAGACGTCACATTCCTGCAGACCAAAATCAGACGTCACATTTGTACACACCAAAAAACCAGTCGTCACATTTGTGCAGACAAAAACCAGACGTCACATTTGTGTAGACCAAAACCAGTCGTCACATTTGTGCAGACCAAAACCAGTCGTCACATTTGTGCAGACAAATACCAGACGTCACATTTGTGTAGACCAAAACCAGATGTCACATTTGTGCAGACTAAAACCAGCTATGGCATTTGTGTAGACCAAACCAGATGTCACATTTGTGCAAACCAAGATCAGACGTCACATTCCTGCAGACCAAAATCAGACGTCACATTATACAGACCAAGATCTGTCGTCACATTTAGGCAGACCAAAAACCGCTGTCACATTTGTGCCAACCAAAACCAGACCTCACATTCGTGTTGACCAAAACCAGTCATCACATTTGTGCAGCCTAATCAAAGCATGCTCTGTTCACAATTCAGATAGTACATTTTTTGAAATTTTGTTTTTGTATGATTAAATGAGATCCAGCTAAATGCACTTCCTGCCTATCAAAAACACCTTAATAACTGTTAGTCATGCATCATTTTCTATCATCTAATATACAGAATATCTTATCCCAATAATTTTTCTCCTAAGCACTTAAAATACCTTATATATGTATATATATGTTTTTGTTTGTTTGTTGTTGTCTTAAAAAAAGGTGGAGATATTTCCATAACAACTGATCTGTGCATTATCACAGGTTGTTTTGTTTACAAAAATAATACATACACTTACTAATATCTTCACAAAACTTAGTTTACATGAATTACAAAAGAAATATTAAGTCATAAATACATAATTTTAATAACTAATAAACAAATTCTTATCTTTTTCATGACAGTCTGAACATGCACAAAGTAAAATATATAAATTATCGAGTAATGACTGTTTTCAATTCCAAAGCATTTGAATTATCCTAGAGCAAAATCAGTTTTCTTCAATTGTTCAGTATTTAAATAAATAAAGTTACAAGACTTCCATAAATGTCAAAATTCTTTATAAATAAATGCCATTTTGTTCACATGTTCTATAGGAATGGTACACAACATACCATTAATGTTCTGCACATTTATGTTCTTAACTATTGACTTAAATTTTCACTAACCTGCTTTTCAAAAATAATTTCACTTTCAGAATTTTGTTCTCTTTCAATCTTCCAATCAATTATGCATAAATGTAATTTCAAATTCTATACGCCTACTAATTTCTTGTAACCAAGTATGTAAAAAATAGCGTTCTTCCTGTAAAAGTCCTTTTCAATCATGCAATTTTTTGTCCCTTAATTGAATTTTCTCTCAATTTAATTCATCAATTTCATTTTTCCTTTCATTTTGATGACAACAGTCCATGGATCAATCTATGAAAATCACCACAGGCTTTGTAATAATCTTTCATATCAAAATTTTAGTGAACACAGAATTTATATAAGAGTAAAACATGTCTGGTAAAGACATGAAGAATTCATTTCAATGACCTGTAAACTTATATATATATGATTCAATGACAACAACTGCCTGTATGTATATGAGAGTGGGCGTGTCCATTTAGTTTAGCGTCTACTCCGTGACCATTGGCTCCCGGGTTTTGGGCTGGTGTTTTACGCTTGATTGGCTTACTAAGGATCCAGTATCTCGCTTCTTCCTCATACATTCCATCATCAGGTGAGATGTCATCAATTTCATACCTGTGAAGAGAATTTGTCTCTTTGAAATAATACATATCTAATATTACATAAACATCTTAGTCATGTGTTCATTTACTGTTTGTTTTGTTTGGGTTTACGGCGCACCAACAGAATATATGTCATATAGGGCCAAACCAGGGAAGATAATTTTGAGTAACCTCGGGTGTTAAAAACTTAAAGCAATATTAGAGCTTAAAACCACCTGCTGGGGCTAAGAAATGGGACTGTATGAAGGAGTGAGGACCAGTTATGACCTTTGTATTACATGACAGGAGGATTCTTTGTTTTTTATCTCTGTTTACAACCATTCAAAAATCAGCAAAATGCAGATGGTCACTAAATTGTTACAAAACCAACTGGAGGTTAATCAAGCTGTCATTTCATAGAAAATCATTGTTAACCCCCATACAACAGAAGGAACAGAAGCATTCCCTCTCCTATACTGGACTGGAAGCTCAGACAAAACAATTTTCTTAAACATTTCCATATGGCATAATATTATCATTTCATTTATTACAGACGTACATTGCATATATAATGTTCGTATAAATGTTTTAACTTACTTTAGTGCCTCCATAAAGAATGTTACAGCAGAATCATTAGCTTTAAACACTGTCAACATTACTTTCGTCATCTCTGTCCTGAGGAAAACAAAAACAGTTAAATTGGAAAAATCAACACAGCTTTACAACTATTCATGAACTGAAAATACATCACTTTGATTTTTTGTTGGATTTTAAGTCACATACACACTGCATAAGGTCATAAGGGGACTTTCCGGCTTTTCTGGTGGAGGGAGACCTTGGGTGTCTGGTGGTGGCAGACCGTGGTTGCCACTTCTTGCATTATTTCAGGCACCTGAGTAGAACAACCAGACTTCCATAAGCTAGACATCACTTAATAAATTGAGTGCCAATAAAAAGAGATAAACTATATTTCTTTTAAAACCTTTACATCAATGTATCATAAAAACTACACTTCAATTTATAAACAATTATACATGAAGAAAACGAAAAACTAAAGCCAGATAGTTTCAGTAAAAGCTGCATCATCTGTTTTGATAAAAATCTACAAAAATGGTTTCCATTAAAACTTTTGTAATGCTGTCAATAAAGTCTTTGATAATAGTTTCTTTTAAAGCTAACAGTTTCAGGAAAAGATGAAGTTTCATGTCAGTTTTTAAATAAATTTTTTTAAATTAAAGGCTTTAGTAAATAATTTTAAAATGGTGCTGAGAAAAATTTCTGAAATGATTTCAATAATCACTCTTTGCTTCAGTAAACAATTCAGGAATGGTTCATTAAATACTTTAGGAATGGTTTTAGTTAACACTGGGAATGGTTTCAGCAAATAATTCAGAATGTGATTGAGAAAATATTTCAGTAATGGTTTCATTAACCGTGTCATGGCACAAATGGTTTCATCAAATACTTCAGAAATGGTATCTAAATACTTCAAGAATGGATTCATAAAATTTTTCAGAAATGGTTTCAGTTAATGAATTCACGAATGGTTTCAATCAATACCTCAGGAATGATTTCAGTAACAGCATTAATAATGGTTTCAGAATCACATTTTACATTGCTAGTACCAGTCACTCTGTTTGAGGGCTCTACATAGAACTTGCTTCATATTTGTGCAGTGATTTGTTGTCAACATTAACAGATTTTCCATAATCCATACCCAATTCATCACAGACTTCCCAAAAGTTGAAAAACACGAAACGAAATCTGTCAGACCCAATGAAATCAAACAAAATCAAAGAAAAACTTGTGTTTGTATTTCTAAGACACTTTTTGGTTTTAATTTTTTCGCTGTAAAAATGGGCACAGTCCATACAGCGCATTTTCATCTCCTCCGTGTCGTATACCAACAATTCACTGTCCTGCTTCCATTTTTCATTAAATGTTATCTCCGGTCTATTCTTTTCATCCTTTTACTGCTGTTCTGCGCGCTCCTCTGACGTAGATTTTCGTTTTTTTCCCAGGTTTGGCACCTTTAGCGACGCCATTTTGTAAAAATGTGACTTGGATAAAAACCGGACAGTCAGACCGATATGGAATAAAAAATCGTCGGACCTAATCAAAATTTATTGGATGACACCGTCGCACCGACATTATTTCAGGAAGTCTGGGTTCAGATATAAAAAATGGTAACATTTTCAATTTATACAGTTAGTTCATTAATTAAATATATAGTTGTTCCATAGACATTAAAAATACTTTTATTTAGTTGTTCTGTAGACATTATACTTTTATTTCTTTCCTTTATTAAGTTACCTTATGTAAATGTATGAACTTCAAATAAAAAAACAGTTTTTCTTCAACAGTATGCTGTGATTAGTTCTGTTGTTTGTTTATTTTTGTTTTTTTCTTTCATAAAAATATTAGACCGGCTTAAAGTTTAAAACATTTCATCTTTCTTGTTCAAAGAATGTTTGCAAATAAATCCAATCCGTTTTCTTTTTTTAATTTTATAAGAAGCTCCTCTAATTACAAAATAAAACAATTTATGGCACATCTGCCAGTAAAGTCATATGGTGACTTTCCTAGCGACTTACCAGCTTCACAGGTGAAGGACCTCAGGTGACAATCTGTGCTTTATTAAAGACATGTGTAGACACCCGAGTAGAACCACTGACATTCCGTAAGCTAGATGGATTAAGATGGCTTCCTCACTTGAAAGAATCCCAAGTCCATATCAGGATTCAAATACACAGCAGTGAGTAACAAGTGTTTTGAAGTCATAGACCATAATCATTTGACTTCCATGGTAAAAAAAGAACGTATAAAATGTATTCCAGTTAAGAAAACTTACTTATATGCCAACAGTTCAAGAATCTGCATAAGAAACTTCCCTAGGCCTTTTCTTCTTAGAGGTTCTGTGAGCTGAATTTCATAGCTGAAATATAGTTTTATACCATATATACACTACCATATACACTCAATAAACTAAAAGAACTCTTATACAAACTTCATGTGGTAAGGTACCTTCTGCAAGAATTCCGTTGCATGTAAAATGTACCTTATCGATAATGTCAACTATAAACAATGACTATGAAGTTTCTATTTCATACATATACAACACTTCAAATCTTACAGTTCTGTATTATTCTAAAATAAGTAGCATACATGAATCAAAAACTATTTCTTCTCTCAAAATTTATTAGGGATGGCAATACGTACCGATTTCAGTACTTCAGTACTCGGTCATTCTTTTGATATTCACATGTCAACCAGTTACTAGTTGTCATCCGTAAAATTTATACATTTACAACAGAAATTTGTCTTTACGTTTACGATGATAATGATGGGTGGGGGGGGGGGGGGGGGGGGGGGGGGGGGGGGGGGGGGGGGGGGGGGGGGGGAACACAAATACATCCACCAGTCATATTTGTGAAAAGCGAGTTTTTTGAAAATTTGCAACATGGATTTAAATAACCTCGAATTAATTTATTGTCAAACTTCAAGGCAAAACAAAAAAAATTATTTCATGATAAAGCACAACCAAATAAATCCATTAAATAAGCAGAATATTACTAATTCAACATACCAATATAAAACTTCTTCATCATATTCCATATCAAATCTAAAATGTACGAAGGCCACTGGTTCCCCATCCTTGTTTCTGACAATCAAGTATAACGCCCTCTCTTCAGACATTTCTTCCCTCTTTTCTCTGTCTTTCCAACCATGTACACCACATTTCTCATATCTGAAATTAAAGGCATATGATATAGCATGTTAACAAAGTTTACCTAATAATTAAGACATTATTAACATGAAAAGTTGTACAAATATAAATAATATACATTTGTCAATAAATAAAGGTTGTACCTACAAAACATGTATCGTCTACTTTTGACATCGGTGACATTGACCTTAACCAAAATGATCCCTAACTATACCCAAAGGAATGGGACATCCCTGGCATGTCCCTATTAAAAATGAAAGACATCAGTTTATAAATAAAGGCTGTATGAGCAAAGGTGAAAAAAAAACAAGCCAAATCAATGACCCTAACTCCAACAAGGGTATTAACCTATCAAATATAGAAGATACCATTGAATAATTGAATCTATTAGGAAAAATTCAAGATAAATCCAACTTACTGGAATTGGTCAACCATACCCTTGTTTTCAAAGTGATAAACAAGGAAATAACTGGGAAAAATGGTTAGCACAGTTATGTTACTTTGCAATATTATGAACTTTTTACTGCTAAGAAAGCGTGTAAATTATGAAGCCATTAGTACAGACATAGCTAGCTATAGATATATCAAACTTGCCAGATTAGGTAAATCATATCCATATTCTTAGTTAGCTTGGAAAACCATGAAAGCCACAGTTATGTAACCTGCCAAGATCATGTACATATCAACAATATTGAAGTGTGTAAATTACAAAGCCATTGGTATAGTCAGAAGATAAGATTTATCAAAGTTGCCAGTTTAGGTAAACCTCAGAAGAAGAATAAGACATCCAACCAGGGGCCATTTTTATTGTTATTTTCTATTGTTTAGGCCAATAGCCCTGTATTCTATTGTTACAGAATGAACCTTATTGTTCTTTTCTTTTTTTTTTTGTTCACAGTTAGATGGCCTCTTATCTATTTTCGGTACTTTGGAGGGATGGACATACTCGCTAGGGTTTGTGGGGATGGCATAAAAATTGCAGAAGTTGATAAAGATTTAAGAATATACTCAGAATTGACTTGAAAATAAACATATTGTTCAATTAGCAGCTCAATTTGAGATTAAAGCATTGAAACACTTCTTTTTAGCTTAATTTGCAGCATATCTTGCTTTTATAATATAATTCTGGCCATCTAATTATATATGTCACTGAATACTTTTTCTGAACAATTGGAAAAAGTCTGTAATGACTCACTGATGCCTTACCAATGAAGACTGCGTTATACTTATATACAAAAATTTATCAAACCTTCATTGGTCAACCTTATAAAACCAGTTCTTTCTGACATATAAATCTTGTCATTTACCAATTCCATAGAAATCGGCAAACTGGTCATTAACTTCTCCTTGACTTATATCATCAGATACAGTATGCTTAAAGTTCATATCTGAGAATGCTGACAACTACTTACCACACTATACCAATCTACTGTGTAATCAAAACTTTAGCATATGACTTTAAGAGCACTATTATTTTATAAATAAGCAAATTTTTGTACCTGTATATATGGTAAAAAAAATTTTTTATGGATTTTAAAAACTTCACACATAGTGACACTGTGAAGATTATTTTAAAGATAAAGGATGAAATATCTTTCTTAAATACATACAATGTCTGCATATTCTTCTTACACAGCTGGAAAACAAATTCTTTTGTTTCATCATCCATATCACCGCTCCTTTTAAAATCTATCACTAAGGAAACACTGAAAAACAACAAACATGAAAATTATGCAAATTATGAGAAAATCTTAGCAAATACTGTGACTAACAAGAACTGTCTGAAAGGCAGTGCACTTGACTATTCTCAGTGCTTGACAGTAACAAGAGCTGTCCGTAAGACAGCGCGCTCGACTTTTTTATTGCTTGCCAATAAAAAAAGTTTTTGCAGTAAAAGGCAATACAAGAATCTCTGTATTTTTAAAGTGAACTAGTTGTTTGATACCCTTGAATATTACAGCAATGTTTATATGACATAATTTATGGTAAAGTGAACAAGTGGATAGGAATGAATTTTTTTAGATTTTTTAAGTTTTTTAGTGCTTGCCTATAATACAAAACATTGACAGTTAAGGGCCATAATTCAAATAAAATCTTTGACAGAATTACCTTCTCCTGGACATGTTTGGGAATCATGATTGTAAACAAGTATTCCAACTTTCAAATTAATATCTCAAACAGTTCAGTCAAAAAGTGGACTGGTACTAAAAACTTAACCAAGATTCTAAGTCGATAAAAGGCCTTAATTTTTAAAACAAATCCTTGACAGAGTTACCTTCTCTTGCGTACAGATGGGGGTAATGATGTGAAATAGCATTAAAAGTTTCAAAGCAATATCTCAAAGGGTTAAGGCAATAAGTGGATTTTACCCATATTCAATGTATTTTCTAAGTCAAAAAGGGGCATAATTCTGTCAAAAACCTTGACAGAGTTATGTCCTCTTGTCTGTTGATGAAGGTCGTGATGGTAAACAAGTATGGTCAGTTTCAAAGCAATACCTCCAATGGTTTTGAAATAAAGTGAGGTGGTACAAAAAACTTAACCAAGCTCAATACACTTTCTAAGTCAAAAAAGGGCCATAATTCTGTCAAAAACCTTGACAGAGTTATGTACTCTTGTCTGTAGATGGAGGTTATGATGGTGAACAAGTATGGTAAGTTTCAAAGCCATACTTGTAATACTTCTGAAATAAAGTGGGGTGGTACGAAAAACTTAACCAAGGTGTGACGCCAACGCCGACGCCGACGCCGGGGCGAGTAGGATAGCTCCCCTTTTCATAGAAAAGTCGAGCTAAAAAAGGGACATTACTCTTTAAAAGGGTAAGTAAGAGTTATGGGACCTGTGCCTATCATGTTAAAAAGTCAGAAAACAAGTATGTGAAGTTTTTTTCACCCATTCCCTTCAGTAGTTTTTGAGATGCCAACTTGCTCACAAAAAACTTACCCAAGTGTAAATGCAACACCATTGAACAGTCATGAAATCAAGCTATCAAACAATACTCCCTCACATATCCCAGCCACTTTGAAACTCTATAAAAATGTTATTGCCCAGTCATTTGCATTTTATAGTGTGAAGTCAAACAAGAGTTTGCGTTAAACTATGAGATAAATGATGAAAAAAAAAATAGTTTATACTAATTTATTTTAGTTTGATTGTATTGGAAGCTATAAGCTGATTGAAACACTCTTGAAACTGTTCTTGGAACCAACCAGTACTAAGGAATGAAAGTAAAGTTTCTTGCTCAAGGAAACAACAGCTTGCCCCTGACAGGGTTTGAACCCAAGCAGTTAGCAATCCTTAAACAAGGGTGCCATAGTCACAAAATACGCCCGTTTACGAAAGCTTTAGATGGAGATGGGGGCATTATGGATAAGTGTTATCTAGCAAGCAAGTTTTTATCCTTGGCACTGTGTTGTTAAATGAACCTTAAAACAAATCAGTAGGGAAGATATGCACAGGATGTGTGACCTTGACCTTGGTCGCAGGGACCTGAATTTTTATGCACGGCACTCAGCCTCACAATGATGAACATTTGTGCCAAATTATATTGAAATCCCTCTATGCATGTAGAAGTTTTGCTCCAGACAAGTGTTTTGCTATGAGCTCTAACTGTGACCTTCACCTTTGACCTAGAGACTTGGTTCATGTGCAGGGCACTACGTCTCATGGTGGTGAACAATTCTATAAAGTAACATTAAAATTCCTCCATGCATGTAGAAAATATGCTCCGGACAACATCTGGATATTTAATCATCTCCAGTGACCTTGACCTTGCAAATATTAACCTAAATTAAATGTGTCACACCTGTAGTCATGATAGTTACCATTTGTGCTACAATCCATCCATAAATGATGACTAAATGGTCCCTATACACATCTTCAAATTTTTATTTGAACTTGGACTTCTATGTGTAACCTTGACTTTGGTCGCAGGGATCTGAATTTTGCGTGCGACACTCAGCCTCACAATGGTGAACATTTGTGCCAAGTTATATTGAAATCCCCCTATGAATGTAGAAGTTTTGCTCCGGACAAGCGTTTTTCAATGAGCTCTAAGTGTGACCTTGACCTTTGACCTGGAGACCTGGATCATGCATGGAGCAATACACATCATGGTGGTGAAACATTTCCATAAAGTATTATAAAAATCCTTCCATACATGTAGGAGATATGCTCCAGACAAAATCTGGATATTTCACCATCTTTAGTGACCTTGACCTTGCATATATTGACCTAAAGTACATGTGTCATAGCCGTAGTCATGATAATGACCATTTGTGTTACAATCCCTCAATAAATGATGATTAAATCGTCCCTATACACATCTTCATATTTTTATCTAAACTTTGACCTCTATGTGTGGCCTTGACCTTGGCTGCAGGGACCTGAATTTATGCGCGACACTCAGCCTCACAATGTTGAAATTTTGTGCCAAGTTATATTAAAATTCCTTAATGCATGTAGTAGTTTTGCTCCGGACAATCGTTATTCAACGAGCTTATCTTAGTGTGACCTTGACCTTTGACCTAGATACCTAGTTAATGTGCGTGACATGGTTTCTCATAATGGTGAACATTTCTATGAAATTTCATCAAAATCCCTCCATGCGTGTAGGAGATATGCTCCGGACAAAATCTTGATATTTCATCATCTTTAGTGACCTTGACCTTGTATATATTGACATTAATTATATGTATCACAGCCATAGTCTTGATAATGACCATTTGTGTTACAATCCCTCAATAAATGATGACTAAATGGTCCATATACACATCTTCATATTTTTATCTGAATTTTTACCTCTTTGTGTGACCTTGACCTTGGCCGCAAGGACCTGAATCTTGCGCGCGACACTCCGCCTCACAATGGTGAACATTTGTGCCAAGTAATATTGAAATCCCTCTATACATGTGGAAGTTTTGCTCCGGACAAGCATTTTTCAATGAGCTCTAAGTGTGACCTTGACCTTTGACCTACAGACCTGTTTCATGTGCGCGACACTGCTCTTCATAGTGGTGAACATTTCTATGAAGTTTCATTAAAATCCCTCCATACATGTAGGAGATATGCTCCGGACAAAATCTGGATATTTCGCCCCATTAAAGCAAAAAGGTACCAAGCGACATTTTGGCCAAAAATGACTTTTTAACATTTTTCATTATGTTTTAATGTTATCTTTAATCTGTAGAAATATCTCTGTAGTATCATGTTTATTTACAGACATATAAGGTTATGTAAAAAGGTACTATGTCAATATTTTCCCATTTAGTAATGCAAAAAGGTACCATATGCATATCAGTTTGAGCAAAAAGGTACCAAGTGTCACATAGTACCTTTTTGCATTGTATGACTATATATGTTTTGAGCATTTATTTTAATGCAAAAAGGAACCATGTGTCACATGGTCCCTTTCTGCACACAAAGAATTTACGACCCTTAAGATTATTTTATATATTAAATTGTTTGCTTGGTACCTTTTAGCTTTTTAATGAAAATACAATCTAGATGTTGCTAAGGACATCAAATATAACAATAAATCCCAGAGTATTGTTTCTGTTTTAAATTGAGGAATGATAACAGTGCGAAGATAATGATAGTGTATAAATGACTTCTTCACAAAAATGTGGACGTAAAAAGAAAAGTAATTGACTGTACTCTTGCCAACTATATGGAAGGAGAAGCATGATAGGGAAGCGTACATCTGCAAATAAACTAGATTATGATATAGTTAAATTGGTGAAACAGCATAAAGAGTAATTTCCTAAAATGAAATCTCATTATACAAGAAAAAAAAACTGAAAGAAACAATACCTATCTCATGACTATGACTTAAACATTAAAAAGATGTGGAAACTGTAAACTATTGAAAGTAAATAGAAGGAAATAAAACCTGTTAAGCAACATACATATAGGAAGGCAGTAGACACACTAGATGGCACGATCAAGGAACAATATATTGAACATCAAAAAACAGAAAGAAAATTCACAAGAAGAAAAGATTTAAAATGAAGTTGGAGCAAAAGGTGACGCACGCGTTTATGTTGCATGTTTTGATCTCAAAGCTGTTGTAACAACCCCTTGCTCATAAGTGAGTGAGCTTTACTATTCAAGAAAACTCTGTTGCTACACAACTTGACAGTATATTTCTTATGAGACAAAAATGTTGTATGTCATGTATGGGATAAAACCAACTGCAAAGAGAGGCATGTGAAATAGCTTCCTGCTTAATAAAAACACCCTTAAATAAATTGCCCTTTTCTACTTGCCAAACTGGTTTTGTCAAATAAGTCATTTATTTTTCAGATTCATACGGGAGACAAAACAGAAATTGATTCATAGCTGCGTCTCTTCTTTTATATTATCACAAGTTCCAAGTTTAAGATTGATCACAAATTTCTTGTATCGGGTCACTCACAGATGGAGTGACAACTTGACTCTTGAAGGGGCAAAGAAAATAATTCCTGTATAATTATATATCATTCAGTTGTGTTCTCTTATATCACTGGCCAGAAAATCACGGCCATACATTGCTGTGCCAATGAAATATAACCAGGTTTTTGATTTCAAATACTTCATTAAAAAACAGTGTCCGAGACTCAAAACATCCATTGACGGACAAGGAGTAATCTGGCTACAAGTGGAATGGATACAGGTACCAAAGGGAAGCCCAAAGTCAGTATTTGTAAATTAGAGCTTTAATGCTGAAATTTTATGGAAATAGAAGTTCAGAATACAGAATCTAAAGTATTAGTGGACAAATGGTGAACAATATATGAAATTATGATACCAAACCTCCAGTTTCTATTCAAAAGAAAAATAACTTGGTTACTTTGTGTGCAAAGAAAATTATCCAAAAAGAGTTCCATAATTATAATGCCACTTAACCAACATAAAGGAAAGAAAAGGATTATGTCACAATGGAATCGGGTGAGAATGATTCTGATTTTTACTAACAATGTAAGAGATTTTGACATAGGCATTGAGATTGATCACAGAGGAAGACTTTCAAAACATGCAGTGTGATAGTTGTATCAGACATTAACTGAAAACACAAGAATTTCATATTTTTATTTGTATCATTGTAGAATAAAATTGTTACCAAATGATGCTTTTTGTTAATATTGTTGGGACAAAAAGGTGCCAACTGCCATATGGTACCTTTTTTTGATATATTCGACAGCAAATGTTAAAAATCATATAATGCAAAAAGGGGCCAAGCGTTCATATGGTACACTGGAGCCGCGATATAGCGCTCATCAGTATAGCGCTTATCTCAGTAGAACGCTCATATGCCTTGGCTCCCAAAAAAAAAAATCGTATTTTTCGCCCATTATAATTTTTTTTCATGTATATCAATACCGCACCTTATCCACTATAACGCTTGTTCAATGTGTCAGTCGAGTGCAATAAACAGTCATAATTACGTCACTCATGATAAGAAGGTGTGAAGTCATACACAGGTAAGCGTTAATCCGCTCTTTTGTTCTTTTTGAACTGTTGATCAGTCAGGTATCAAACTGTTAGCTAAGACATGCAAACACCGACGATTTAAGTAAATCACCCAAGCATACAATTAATTTTAAAAAGCATGCACTTTCGATCTATCTGCAAAAAAGTTGTTGAGGATGACTGATTTTTTCACAAGAGACAGCAGGAAAGACGATTAATTTAGTCCCATCCACTAGGTATCAATTTTCATGACCACACATAACTCACGTTAACACCGCTGTTTTACTGGAAATTTATAAACATTCATTCGTGGTTTATATTTTTAATTCGTAAATTTCATGTTTATATTAAAGATATTCAGTAATGCTTTACAAAATAATTAATAATAATATATAAAAAAGCTTGGACTGATATCCATTGGAAGGTAAGTAAACAATCAATTCCACTAACAAGCGTTATATGTTTCGGCGGTGGGTGGGGTAATGCGATATTTTCGCTATAATTACAAAATGAGCGTTATAAAAAGTTACTCGTTACAGCGCTGTCTTGAGATCATGGACCCCAACATGAGCGCTATATCGCGGCTCCAGTGTACCTTCTTGCATTTGTCAGTCAAAATATTTATTAGTGCAAAAAGGAACCATTTCCTTTAATTGATTAATTATCACTAATTAGTAATATATAAGTTTTCCAACTTTTTGAGCATGTACATTCAAATATTATCTAAATATATGTGAGGTTTCTTTGCCATGTTGTAAAAACCTGATTTGATATGGAACTTCAAATCTTTAAACGCGATTTTCTCGAAAACATGAAAATGTCACTTGGTACCTTTTTGCTTTAATGGGGCGATTTCATCATCTTTAGTGACCTTGACCTTGTATATATTGACCTAAATTATATGTATCACAGCCAAAGTCTTGATAATGACCATTTGTGTTACAATCCCTCAATAAATGATGACTAAATGGTCCATATACACATCTTCATATTTTTACCTGAACTTTGACCTCTATGTGTGACCTTGACCTTGGCCGCAAGGACCTGAATCTTGCGCGCGACACTCCGCCTCACAATGGTGAACATTTGTGCCAAGTAATATTGAAATCCCTCAATCCATGTGGAAGTTTTGCTCCGGACAAGCATTTTTCAATGAGCTCTAAGTGTGACCTTGACCTTTGACCTAGAGACCTGGTTCATGTGCGCGACACTGCTCCTCATAGTGGTGAACATTTCTATGAAGTTTCATTAAAATCCCTCCATATATGCTCCGGACATAATACGTCCCGTTTTTCAAACGGGCGTATAATTACTAGTCAGACACATTAACCACTTAGCCACTCCGCCACTCAAAAAATTAAATCTTTTTAACTCTATGAATAAAACAATACATGTATTATGCTTGCCAAAGGCTTACATAATATAATTTTAATCAACTTGTTCAATAAATTCAGTATTGAACCTATATCCATCTTAATAAAGCTTTCTTTGAGCTATGACTGATTACAAATTATAACTTTCTGCTTTATTTTAAATTAAACTATCTAGAAAAACTCACCCATTCCTTTCAAACTTTTTGAATGGTTCCAGCATAGATAGTGGATTTTCAATCTGAAATATAGTAAAAAGAATTTGTTTCTGAGGAAATGTGAGAAGGGATGTTAGATTTATTGTTCAATCATTCACTTTTGACTCGTTAAATATTTTATAATATTGCAGGTTTGTTACGTTGAATTTCATTAGGAGATCTAGTATATTATCTATATATTATTACACATAAAATTTAATGTATGAATATTTCTTTATTTCTCCTTACAGAAAGGAATTCGAAGCATTATTACTGTTATCAATATTTTTTTGATGGCTTATATGGCAGTTTTCAATATAACCCTTCACTAACTGCTTATATATGCTTACATTTGTCAGATATTGAGCCATATAATCAGGCAATATCTTTATAGCAAACAATGCAACTATCAAAATTAAGTTTAACAGTCAAGCTAATAGTGGTAAATACTATATACTGCAAATATTGTCAGTGATTTTATTTTTGAAATCTTTTTGAATTTTTTTAAATGACCTGCTGCTTTCTGAAAGGGGGGAGGGGGGTAATTTCTGTAGGGGAAAATATAGCAATGTAAAAAGCAGAGAAATCTATAGTGCAACCCTTCTGTCTTTCATGCCATTAAGTTATCAACAAGCTGGTCCAAGTCAATTACGGTTCTGGTTCTGGTGACATTTTCCGGAGACATATAGCAATTTAGGGGAAAATAGAACCATTTAGGGCGGGGGGGGGGGGGGGGGGGAGAAATCCTATATTTAGCTGTCAAATAGTGTGTGGGGGGGTGGGGATGGGAGGAGGAATAACTGACTGTAACAAACCATTAAAATTCACGTCAACATTCTGAAAGTTACACAATATGGAATTTGCTTTAATCACAATCTAGATCTCAGCACATATAGTAATCTTAAACTTCTCACTAACTTTCCTCTTACAGAAAAATGTTTACCACTAGTTGCTTATCTATGAACATTAAAAATTAGCCGATTTATTATCATAACAGACCAACTGAAAGATATTTGTATAAACTTACCTTGTTAGCAGCTTCTACCTTTGCTAAACTGATTGCCATCTTGGCGCTCTCCTATAGAGAAAAACAAAAACAGGTCACAAACACTGTATGTATTATATTGTAAAATAATTTACCATGGATACAACATAAACATATCTATAGAACTACTCTTTCTTTATCTGGTTAAGTCATTAAAAAAAGTTGTTTCAACAGTACTATATGCTGTACAGTAATACACCCTAAAAGAATTATACTTCACAAAAAGGGATTTACTCACTTGCGTTGATGGACAAGTGCTCTAAGTGACCTTTTTTTCTTGTTGAGTTTAACGGTGCCCAATATAATATAGGTCATATTGTGACTTTCCAGCTTTGCCCTTCTATGCATTATTTTAGGCACAAACAGGGACCTGAGTAGAACCACTGACTTTCTGTATGCTAACTGGATAGCAATCTCACATGAATAATACAAAGTTGCTGACGTTATTTTAGGAAAGTGATCTTTAACCGCTTTTTACAGACTTAGTTTTATCATGGAAATATCTTGTGAACAAGAGTACATGTGTACTAAGACCCGTACATATACATGAAATGCATGTATAATGATGCTAAATGACTACTTATCAAAACAAATTGATCTACATGATAATTATTCCAGTTTATCTGTCCTCATATTTTAACACAAAATCTATGGAATAGGGAGAAAGCCATTTTTGAATTCAAAATACCTATTTGAGCTCTACTAAGACATGAATTGAACATTAATCCACAACTTCTTTATCAATCTATATAATAGAGTAACTAGACATACTGTTCTGGTACTATAATTATTGAATTACCTCTTTTCTCTTCATTTTCTTTTCTTTGCCTTTTGCTGATTTTCTCTATAATGAAAAGAAGTGGAAATATTATGTACAATTTTATCAGATAATGAGCAACAACTCTGCTTTTTTTTATACAAATGCAAAACAGGCTTACCATTCTTTAAAAGAACCGGGATAAACTATGCCTACAAACATTAAGTAAATAGTCTAACAGCAATTCCTGTACTGTACAATGTGGAAAATTGTGGCTGTATGATCCAAAGTAGTGTAACAGGAATTTGGAGGTTACCAGGGAGGAAACATACTACTACATAAATGTACCATTTTTGGAGGTGACATACCACCTATATAGAAATAGTTAATAAAGGATAAAGGCAAAATTGTTTATTCTTCAAATTTGGCATTAATTGATCTTTTGTATTTGCAAATATAATATAGTAACAATAACAGTATTTCAAAGTTTGTAATTTGATTGTTATTTGTTTTATTATTCATTTCTGACTTTGTGACACTGATAATCATATATATATAGATACAGGTAAAACTATTGCCATAAAATTTACACTGTAATATTGCTTTGATATGACTTTGCTTTTTAAGTAATTAGTTATAATAAAGTTATAATTTGTTCATTTACTTTTTTATGTTAATTATTAAGCTATATATATTACTCTGTATGTATTTCATAGAAATAAGATGAAAACATATATTAATGGTACCTATACTTCAAAATATATAAGTGGTATGTACAAGGATTTAACAGACGCAGGATCATGCGCGGCTGCGCCGTAATTAAAACACATGAAATACCATCATGTACGCACAAAAAATAAATTCTGCGTATACATGGACGCAGAAAAATTGTCTAAAGTATATGTAACTGATATTTCCATATTTTAAAATAAATTCTTAGTACCGTGGACACACAAAAATTGTTTACAAATAACTCTTGTTTTTTTTATTTTTACGACATCTTAAATGTTTTGGTTAGCGGTGAAGGTGCTGGGAATCACCAATGGGTATTTATTGTAACACATCAGTTTATTGGCATTTAAAATACAGACGAATCATTACTGAACATCGTCATACCCCGGATATTATCGTCAGGAACGCTTGATTCCTAGTGCTTAGTTGTTATCTATGAAAGTACTTTCAGTTTAAACGATGACAAAACAGGCCGACTTAAGAATTTTTTTGGGTGGGGTAGGTTCAAAACAAAAACGAGATGACCATGAGCCCCGTCTCGTCGACTGTAACTGAAGCAAGTACATCATCCCAGCAGTCAACAAAACTGAAACGTGACTGAACATTCTCGTCTGTCTGGTTTGATAGATACAAATGGTTAGAGCTACAGGATGTTTTGTAACACTTGCATTATGGCCAAGAGTTCAAGAGGACAAACCCGTTTTCGAAACTTTCAAAACTCAGCATTGTATGCGTATATGATGCAATATCCTGCCTCCAGTAAATCCCTGGAGACTAAATTAAAACAGTGTATAGTACACCTGAGTTAATTGTTTAATGTCTAGACTGACTCACAGTAATAGTGATTCTAGTCAAAATAATAAAAAGTGACCTCCAGTAATCGTAAAAAACATATACATAAAGTTTTATAAATTTCATAAAAACAGAAAAAACTACATTAAGATTTGTTCTTGTTCTATCCTTGACGAGCCTCAGATATAAGTGTCAATACACCTATAAAGTATTAACGCTTTCCAAACTAGCAGACGATAGTCTATTCTTATCAGTAGTTTTTAGAGTTAAAATAACCGGTTGCGTATTTTACTGTATCGTCGGGTGCCCTGAAATTACGCTGCCCTATTTCGACGCCATTTTTGTTTTGCTCAATATATTGTCATTAGCGACTTGAATGATTCACTACTATATAAACACTGTAGTAAACACGGATTTCTATCGCTTGCAAAAATTATGTGGAAAATAAGAGATGCAAAGGTAAAAAAATACTTTAATACAGTGGACCCTTGCTAATCCGAACCCTTCTAATCCGGAATCCTTTCTTTTCCGAACGAAGTGTCCGGTCCCGATTTTATTCGTTCTATTTTCAATAGTAAAAAACCTTTCGGATCCGGAACTTGTCAACTCCGAATTCCGGACGATTTTTTCAATTTTTGTTCTTATTTTACTCTAAAATTTACCTCTCGGACCCGAACAGATTTTGCCAAATGTTACACCTTCATTCAAAATAACAAATAATCGCAAATCTTGCAGGTGTAAACATACACCAAACTGATGTGTTATTTCGCTTGATCAATGGGTGAAGCGTATGATCTGCGAAGGTGTGAAAATTACACTTAGCTTGCCTTCATATCTTCTATAATTGCTTAATTGATTGTTTTTCGTCACATTCAATAAATATTTTGATATAATGCAATAGAAATATCTTTTAATCCTTTGTAATGGATTCAATGATACGTGATTAAGCAATGAAAATTAATGGAAACTGTCAGTGAATTCGGATAGTCGCTGAATCGGATAAGAGTTAACAACAATTGACAAATGCTGGTACGAATATTTTATCATGTCTCGGCCTCCTGTTTAACATCGTAGGTTAACTTACCCTTGAGGACATAATATTTTTGCTTATTTATTTATTTATATTTCTTTATTTTTGTATTCACATGTAATAAAATGAACGATAAGAGACTGCAAAAATAAAATATCTAAATTGCAATTTCAAATGCATTCCCGTTTTCTTTCCTTAAACTATTTTGCAAATACATGTAACATGAAAAAACATGTAAGAAAACCTTCTAATTCGGAAACCTTTCTGATCCAGAAACCTTTCTTATCCGAACTTTTCTTCTGGTCCGGATGAGTTTGGATTAGACAGGTTCCACTGTATACTTTTTCAATTTTATTATATTTTTACTAATGCAAAAAAAGTTGTACTTTATTTTGCTTTTATCTGGGCAAAAATGAGCGTGAGAAAAATTTTCACTATCCATCTGCAACACCCACTCGCTTCATTCATTAGGTCATGTGACAGTCATGTGACTAATCACATGACAATGGTGTATTTATCACTGTTAAGCACCATGTACTGGTTATATCATTTTATTCAGTATAATTGAAAAGTGTATGTTAATTGAAATTTAATTGGATAGTTACAGCTCTAGCCTATATAACTTATGCTGAATATCATAGTAAACGTAATTTTTCTTTACTGCAGGTTCCAGAAATGAAGTAAAGGTGCTACTCTCCTACCTCTATGGGCACTGCACTTGAGAAGGTGAGGCTGACTGGGGCTCCCATTAAGACAACTGCAAGGGAGTTTGGCATACCTGAAGCTTCCCTTAGACACAAACTTTCTGGTAGAGTAGACCCTGAAGCTGTGAGATCTGGCCTATCACCTTTGTTTACTCAAGAACAAGAGGCACATTTTGTGGAACATTTGAAGTTCATGTCTGTCTGTGGTTATGGGTACAGCAGGTCAGAGGTTGTGGACATGGCAACTGAATATGGGGTATGTCTAGGTAAGAGAGACACTGAACATGCACTTTCCCTGAAATGGTTCAGGGGATTCATGTCACGATGGCCTGAACTGAAAGTCTTAAAATCACGGGGATTGGAAATTCAGCGTGCGAAGGCTACAACTGTTGGTTGTGTCTCCAAGTATTATAGAGAACATGGTTCCATCTTGGACAAGTATGGACTGAAGGAAAGACCAGAACGAGTTTATAACATTGATGAAAAGGGTTTGTCCACTTCTCACACACCACCATCAGTTGTTACTGGAAGTGAATTCAAGCCTCAGATAGTCACATCCAGTGTTGCATCTAGGCCGCGCGATTTGCGCATTTTTTATGCATATCGCGCATTTTAATGAAGTCAGTGCGCGCCAAGTCGCGCAGCTGATGATCTTTTCAACTTAATTCAGTTTACCTTCATCGTATCTTAAACGCTTCAGCCATGTTTGTTTTCACTCGTGGTTATGACTAAAATACGTACTAAATCCCTTGTAGCAGCCGACTGAGTCATCTTGTGTGTGTTTTGTAGTATTCGTCAATATTTTATTTTTTCTACTTCCGTTTTTGAGCGGACGATAACTGTCAAAAATGCCTGAACATAAAATAAATGAATTCTATTCGGTATGTCATATTGTAAGGTAAATGTATGTCCCCCACATTTTTTTCAAATCCCCCACATTTTTCAATTGAGTGGGGGACAATCCGCCATAATTTTGAAATTCTAGATGCAACACTGCACATCTGGTTCAAGATCATTAGTGACTGTGATAGGCTATGGTAATGCCCTTGGCTATAGTGTACCACCCTTTTAGTGTTTCCTGGGGCAAGAATGAGGCCTGAGCTGTTGGATGGAGGAAGTGCTGGAGTGGATAGTGTTGTCACAGAGAGTGGGTGGAGCAACAGCACTGTGTTTCGGAGGTACATTGAACATCATCTAATAAAATACTTACCTGAACGTTCTGATGATGATCCTGTACTTGTACTTTATGATGGACATAAGTCCAGTGGTTTTTTCCCCTACTTCGGGAATGGTGCCAGTCCGGACAGATTGGGAAAAAAATCCATCGGTTTGACTCAAATTGGGAATTTACGCAAGATGCAAAAAATTTCTTTGGGAATTTCTTTTATCCAGGGAAACATGAAAATTATGCATAATAAACACTTTAAAACCATGTATTATTAACTTTATGCTTCTTGAGTTTGAAAAAAAAAATGATAATCATAACAATTGTACATAAATAATGTTAAGGTGTGAAACACTAAAAGTACGAAATTAACTAGGTACGAATATCACTCATGTGGTTATACTTGGTTTTTATGTCATATCACTTATCAATGGCATTTCTGTTTTTGTTTACCTTTAGATTTGTCGATTTTTCAGGAAATTTTCAGTGTTATTTTGGGAATTTATCAGCCATGAATTGGGAAATTTGTTGTCTTTTTTCTATTGGGAACGGTGCCGTTTTCCGGTATCAGTTATATAAGGAGCAAAAACACTGAAGTCTCACATAAATCTGGGGCTAAGACACAGCACCTCATCTTGTTCTTTACTTCTTACTTCCTGCCCATACCAGTCATGTATTACAACCTCTTGATGTAGGATGTTTTGGACCTTTTGAGAGGGTCTACAAAACTGTGTGTCACAAGTTCATGCGTGAGCACTGTGGTCAAAGTATCACACGATACAATGTTTGCGCACTTGGATGTTGAGCCTATTCTAAGGCACTAGCGCCCACTAATCTACAAGCTTCTTACCGCAAGACTGGCATCTATCCATACAATCCACATGTTATAGATCCTTCCAACTTTAAACCCTCAGAGGCTCTGCAACAGGAAGCTAACTCAGATGCAGCAAACATTTCAAGTACCCCATCCAATGAGTCATCACAATTCTTCTCTACAAAAGCAGCTAACATCACTTCAAAAAAGTCACCCACCAAGAAACGCCGTTACCTTAGCAGTGTTGTCAGTGGTAAACAGTCTATGCGAAAGACTTCTGAGTTTTACTGGACAGTAGGTTCTGTAAACTGAAAATTTTTACTGGACCAAACATGATTTTACTGGACCGAAAAAAACCTGATTGGTATAGCATTCTGAGTCATTTGATAAGTGTCAGCAGTCAAAAAATTTGTGTACAAAAAGAAAATTGTATTATCAACGAAGTGAAGTTATCTTTTTTCACCACAATCAAAATGTAAACATAAATATTGTTATACATGTATTCAATGGATTTTGCTATTTAAACTTTAATTTCATACAGACTATATACTAGCAAAATGTCTGGCATAGATATGTAAACAGAATTATATATATCGGTAATTTAGTGAAGTTGACAGATTAATTGTTCAATGATTTTGGTACCTTCACAGTATAGTTTAATTTTTGTCAACATCTTGGACGATCTTTCATAGCTAAACACCAGTTGAGCACACGTGTAATTTAGCATTTCTCTAAGTCTGTGGATTAAAGACGTAAATTGTTCCAATTAATACACTGACACTTTCATCTGTGTAAACAAACTTATAGCGGGTGACCTTTCACATCTGGGCCGCTTATGTAATTTACACGGCCGCTTATTGACTTTTAATTGTACTAGTTGTCGGATATTTTTATCTTGCGTTGTTACATGAAAGTTTGCATTATGAGAATGCATAACAGTTGACAAGCATTGCACGAGCTTTAATATTGTGTAATGACAACATTTTGATATGTTTTGAATGTAGGTAAATGATTGGCCTTTGCAAAATGTTGAATGTAAGGTTTTTATAAATCCTTAATTTTTTCCGGACAGTCAATACATATATTTTTATCGGACCTTCTGATTTTTTACCGGTCAGGGCCGACGGTCTTTCGGAAAGACTGGGTAAACAGATAACCAAGGCATATATGATGGACAAGATAAGGGAACATGAAAATGCTTAGAAGCCTAAATCTCTGAAAAACAAATCTGACCCACAAACTACAGGAACTGTCAGACCAACAACTATAAACCCAAAGACACAGATGTTATGGACAGTGATGTTTCACTAGAGGAGGATCTGGACACAGAAGTGTGCTGTGTTTGTAACTTGTTCACACCCATGAACTACGACAGAGTACCTCTCTCTTGTTTGTTAAGTGGGTACAGTGTACTAAGTGTGGACACTGGGTGCATTTAATTTATTGCACACCTGTTAGAGTAGTAAGAAGGGGTGATGTGTTTTTGTGCATTCACTGTACTCCAGAAGAGTAAATACACATGTTTGATCATGGAAATTTCATGATATTTAATGTAAATTAAAGATTGAAAACTATTTTATGAGTTATTACTTTGTAGATCCAGATTGCTGATATCAATGGACATCGTAAGTACAACTTAAAATGTGTACACATTCCAAAAGGGTGTTTATAAAGCTATATAAAGGCAACCAATCAGAAGCGTCATTTTAGGTCACTCTCAAAGAACATGGCCGCTTACATACATGTAAGCTTAATGCCAGATTAGGAAAAAATATACAAGAGCAGAATCGTAATAATTTTTATATTTCTTTACATGAATGTTAATTTATGCAGTTCTGTTGTAGTTTCAATGAACAAATGTATTTTGAGAAGACGCCGATTTATATTCCTTATAGGCGTCGAAACTGGTCACTCGAAGATATAAATTGTACGTAAAATGGTCTGACATATGGCTTAATTTGAATTGTTTTAGCAGAAGCAATATATATTTATTTTACTCAAAGATAAAGGAAAACAAATTGTATTTTTTTCACTCGATATACCTCAGTTGTATTTACTTAGTTTATATGGAAAGTGTTTATGGGTGTATTTAATTAGAAATAAACAAACTAAGTTGTTAGTTAGAAGAAAAAACTAGCTGTACGGAGTCAAATTTTCTGGTCTCTCACCTTCTGTTTTAAAATTATGAACTATCATATGTATGGAAAAATGTTCAAAAAGTGTCGGGTTGATGGTCCCCGACCAGTAGCTACACACTTTTACTCGAGTTACATGCATAGCCACTATTTTAGAAGGGTATTGGTACGCATTTCATAATGCACAAAATAAACAGTGATAAAGAATGACTTTACTGATGTAGATCTTGATTTCATGACCTGGTTTATGAGACACCAGCAGAAATGTCTGCCAGAAACAATGCTGAATGGACACAGTTGATGACATGATAGAAAATGTTAGTGAAAACTGAACAGCTTATGAATGATAGGTTTGAGATTATGTTGAGTGTGGATTTTTTGTATCGCGAAAACGTATTACAAAACAAGAATACTCTCACAATTAAATCTTAATCCAGTTTAAAGGCTACAAGCCTAAAATGTTGATATTCTTAACAAACTACGTGAAAAAACATATTCTTACACCCATCTTTTCTTCTTCTGTTGATACTTTTTTCTTTTATTTCAAGAATAAAAAAAATTCCCGCGATTATTCATTGAAGAGTATTTTCTGAGGATAGTAAGATTCGTCCCACTGACGGTTCGCTACATATTAGCCTAATCTGGTTCCCAGCGTACTTCTGCACGATAATGAAATGGTAAGGGCAGGTAACCCAGGCTACATATTAGCCTCCCTTTACTTTAGGGACGATTCGTCCTAATTTATATTTTATATTTAAATTTTTTTCTTCGTATGTAAATACTGCAATAGAGGGAATCTACTTTGGTATTTTTTAACATATCTGTCATGTAAGTTTTAAAATCAAATGGAATGACAGTTTATATAAATGCTACAAAAACAAAGTGGACGTCCCCAAAGTGGAACAAAAAAGGTTTAATGTACGGGCCTTATTTGAATGTTATTCAAGAACACATAGTTAGATAGTCTCTCACTTAATTTAGAATTAGTACTAAAACGGGGGGAATCACGTGACTTTGTATAGTAATACCCACGAGAAAATGGCTACTGCTGAGCCCCGGTAAGTACCTTATTATGTTAATTTAAGGTGACAAACGTTTCTTAAATCAAAACAAAACCTAGCGTAACATATGCGCGGTAATTTTCTGCAAATGACAATACAAAGTGCATTATCCTACGTTTTGTGGTTTTTGAGAACATTGTTTGAATTGTGTGAAAATTGCACATTCAGCAATAGTAATTCGCACGAAGCGATATAATTTGGTACCAAAATCAATGAAAATAAGCCTTCTTTTTGCACTTAAGACACCAAATCAATCATTTTATTGACATCTGTTCTTGTAGAATTCCATATAAAATTTTGTTCGAAGGTCTGTAGCCTACAAATGTTCTTTGCAAGTGTTAAGTAAGTAAAACGAACAATTTCTGGATAGTAAGTTGCACGAAAACAAAATAGTAAGTTTCACGTACAGTTTCCAATAGCTTACTAAAATGTGACGAAACTATCTTATAATTCTTTTGGTTACCAATTTGCAAGTATATTCCGTCTACGGTGACAATATCGAGAAAGAATTCTAATTATAATTCATATTATTTCATAATACATGTATTCATATAATTTTATAAAAGATTACTTAATTTAAAAAAATAAATGAGACATTGACATTGATACTCAACAATGTACGTTACACTTGGCCCTTTTTCACTTTAGACTGGACCACACCCGTTATCTGCAGAACAAGATATATAAAGAAATAACTGTACAGAAGGTCAGACACTCACATTGATATTTCCATAGACTTACATTATAAGAAATGGTCCCTAATCCTACCTTAAAATTGAGTTTTCATGCTAAAGAGGTAATTTTTCTAGCAGAATGAAATGCCTGACACATAAAAATGTTCCTGCATGTTATATAGGGGTAGCCGACCAAATTTTTTGCAAAATGACTTCAAAGAGGATTACCCCCCATTTCATTGAAATTTTCTGCTGATCACAGGACTGACATACACTTTTTATAAATGCAAAAGTC